ATGCTGAAATATAGAACTCAGCTTGGTAATGAGATATTTACTCATGTGGTCCTGTTAACCCCATTACAGCTATTCAGGATTAAATTGGAAGCTGCACGACTCAGGTTGTTTTCCACTCTCTGTCTCCTTTTTTACCTCATGCTTTCACATGAAACAACTGGCATCTGCCCAGAATGAAGCATCAGCTTGCTAAATCCATTCTGCATGCTTTTGTTCTCTTGCCAAAAGAAAACTTCCTGATCTTCTGGATTGATCAGGCTATTCAGAGCTTCATTTGCTAAACAAAAGTAAGGCAAAATAATGCAAGTGTTATCTGGCTACTGTCTCGGGCAATATTCTTACTGATTTGGAAAATTTGTCTCTTTTTTTTTCATGTATTTTTTCCTTTTCTTCATTCCATTTGGAATTTTACAGAGGTACATGCATTATTCCATTTGTGGCTTCAGTGAATCTCACAGGCAAATCTGCTGGTCCATTTGTTGAGGTTTATTTGGGTTCTTTCCTGTCAATCAGATCTAGAGCTTGTACAACTAGATCCAACTTCATTGAAGCTCATAACTTTAAATGATTTAGTGATATGCAACAAATCATGCTTATAATACATCCTGGTAAGGGCAGATTTTGAAAGAGTTTCAGGTACTTTAAGTTAATTCCCAAAGGAGCACTGCATATCAATGATATCCTAAGAAAGACGTTTTCAGGGACCTCCCAGGGGATCTAACGTTTTCCCTGGAGAAGCCTGGTTTCCTCACTTGAGCACCCAATGTGCACCTAATTATATACATCTCATAGCATCTATAATTCACAAATTCAGCTTCAAGTAAAGAAACTATTCATGGCATCAGTACCAGGAAGTACATTGACTGAATATTCGTGAAGATTCATACTAATCACTGGTACCTAAAATATGGGGGCATAAAAATGCCTATCAAAGCTAGGTTGTACAAGAAATAAATTATAAAAGCAGCTCTGGAATAATTTTATAAAACTTTTATGTCAAGAAGAAGAGATGAATCTTGAGATTGGATGTGAGGACAATTGCTCAGTTAATTACCCATGGAAAGCATATAATTTAATTATAATGTAACTGTTTTATGGAATTTTCTGGTTTGCATCAGAACTTATTGAAACAAAAGTCTACGAAAATGAGATTATAAAGTAACCTGAGGCCTTTCCAAATCAAACTCTGTAAACCAAATTAAAAACAACATTGGGCCTTTTCAAAAGCATTTGTTATACAGCAAGACATGTTCCTTCCCAGTGGTGGTGGAGTGGAGGAAATAGCTAAAGGCTCTCATTTGATTGTGATTTGTCAAAAGAAACCTTATTTTTTCACCTATCTGTTGGAGAAGTTTTCTCAGTGGTGATGGAAAATCAATGCACTTCCTGGAAGGCAGGATTTAATTTCACAACTTTGAAAACAAAACAAACCAAAAAGCATATTTATAAGGAAAAAAAGATGTTCACAGCTAAATACATTCAGTGGTACCCCACAGCTGGACTTCCTCTCGACAATCCAATTTTATGAGCCACCCTAGGCTAGAGGTGTATCTTTGTTTCTTCCCATATCTGGAATATTCTCTGGTGCTACTTGGCCCTTTCCTCCCATGTAGGAGTAAGAATGCATAAAACAATGTATGGAGCTTTTGATGTTGAACAAGCCTTTTAAGAGCCATTGCTTTCAAGGAGGGAAACCCTTATTTTTGATTCTCTAAGGCTGCATAACCCTCACAGCTTTTTTCCCTTACTATTTTTACATTAGGCTGTATGAAATTGACTATCCTTGTAACTTTAGTATTACTGTTTGTTCTTATCTTTATTACACCTTTTTTTTGTTATCTAGTAATTTTACATTTACTTCAGACGTTTAATTTTGATGTTGAATAACTTACTAAGTTCTAACCTTTGCACAGTCCTGCTAACATAAAATTCAGCATGACCTGGATGTTGACTTCCTGAAATGTCAGATGGATATTCTTAATCTTTTAAATACACACATTATGATTTCTGTGCTGATATTTTAAGTTGAAATATCATGTTGGGTTAAGTGAAATGTCTGTGCATATCAGATTAAAGAAGATACCTTCATCAGTAAAGCTTCCTATCGGAGAGAGACTTGATGGGAGGAAGAATGAAGAATTTGTTTACTCATTTTTGTGGCTTATGGAAGGCTAAAATATCTGAGTATTCAGAAACCTAGCAGATACTGATTTTTGACTGCAAACTGATAGCATCATCAGCTTCTGATGAATTTTCCCACAGGACTCCCAGTTACCACTGATGTTCTTCATTACAAATTTATACTTCTTCTTTGTTATACTCCCAAGTTTACTTCCTTGGGGTAAAGTATCCCCTTTGTTATCATTCAACAATCTTTTGTTCAGAACATGTTCTAAATATGAGATATGGATCACTGATTCCGAGAGGATGTTGAACCTCTTCACAGATGGGATGTAAGCAGCAAGCTAAGGCTGTTCATCTGGGATCTGTCTGATGCTGTATGAGATTGTGGTTCCCAGCATCTGAAGGATCATAAAATTTATTCGTTATCTGTATTTCTCTTCCTAATTCTTATGTGTTGTTATCAATACTGTTATTACAGCAGTTTTATTACACCACTTATGCTGTGCTTACTTACTGAGATCTGGAAAGAGCTCTGCACCTTTTCTGGTGCAGAACTGAGGGCTAGGGAGTAACAGTACGACTTGCACAACCTCCATAAACTGAAATTCAGATTTCATATTTAGATCTATTTTGTGAGAAAAATGTGTTTATAAAAATAGACCATCTTAGGATGTGTCTGTGACTTCTTGCCCATTGGTCACATCTTAATTCATCAGAAACAGGTCAATGCTGCAGGTTCATATCTCAGTTCTTTAGCTCTGCAGTACAAGTGTATTGTCTTAATTACAAACCATGCATTCTTAGCAGATCTCCACTGCACACTACAGTGCAAGGAAAAAGTGCAGGGGAAATATTCCAGCTATCATGTTGGCCATCGAACTGGAATTCTGAAGTGCCAGACAAGGCAGTATAGTCTCTTACAAAGTGTGGGGAAAATTGGCTTAGCTGGTGTCACGGTTTAAAACTAGTCAGGCAGCTCGTTCACTCACTCCCCATTTCTTTCCCTCCCCCTACTCCCGGAGGGACAGAGAGGAGAATCAAAAAGAATGCAAATCCCGTGGGTTGAGATAAGAACAGTTTAGTAACTAAGGTATAACACAGATCACTACTGCTACCACCAGTAATAATAATGATAAAGGAAATAACAAGGGAAGAGAACACGACATCTCACCACCAGCTGACCAATAACTCACCCCCCCCAGCCCGACCAAGCACTGACCGATACCTCCTCCAACCCTTCAGAGCCCCAGCTCTGAAGTAACTCCCAGTTACATCCTGGGCATGACGTGCTGTGGTATGGAACACCTCTTTGGTCAGTTTGGGTCAGGTGTCCTGTCTCTGGTTCCTCCCGGCTTCCCCTCATCCCTGGCAGAGCATGAGACTCAGAAAAGTCCTTGGCCAGGCCAAACATTTGAGCATTATCAGCTCTGTTCCCAGGCCGAAAGTCAAAAACACAGCGCTGCACCAGCTACTAAGAAGGAGAAAAATGATTGCTACTGCTGAACCCAGGACAGCTGGGACATGTGTATTTTATGTGGTGAATAAGTCAGTTTTAGAGCAATCTTAGCTTGTGGTATGCTACAAGCAATAGAGCTTGTAGCGAAGGAGAGCTCCTAGCCTAGAAAGCATCTAACCATTTTTGCTTTTATGAAACAGGAAATGATTCTGCTGTTTACAAAGTCTCAAGTGTGACTAATTTATCATTTTACTTATGCATGGGTAAGCTTCGTACATAGTGTTCTTAGTATGTGCAGCAGAATGAGAAGGGATGATGGTGTTAAAAATAGAAGAAATTAATGGGAAGTGAACCAGTCCCCCTAAATGAAATATTTTAACCCCATAACTAGTCAGTTGAGAGCAAAAAAGTATCTCTGACAGCTTACTTATCATCTTCCAGTTTGACTAAATTAGGTCCCTGAACTAAAAAGACTTGTGAATATAGTGGAAGGTTTACCAGTCTGCAGAGATTTTGAACAAACTGTGGTGAACTCAAGCTATTCTTGCAGTGAGAACAAACTGCACTGTTAGCAGTTCGGGAAGCAGAGATGCCTGTAAAATAATAGATGATGTAAAAAGTAGTATGATAAGGATAAAAAAAAAAGAAGGAAAGAGAAGGAGCAGAATAGAATAAAATACTTCACAAAAATATATACATCAAATAAAAAATGTCTTTCAAACCCTTGAGCATACAGGGAACTGTTGTCTATGGCATTTTGTTCGCTATAGGCACTGCAGAAACTTACAGTGATTTTTAAAAATACATATCATTTTTTCTATTCTGTTATTTACTGTAATTTGCATTTTGACAGCATTAATGTTATACATATAAAATATTTGCCTATAAGTTTCTGGGGTACTTACCTGGGTTCTAGTTAATGGAGTATTTTGCACTGAAAAATCACTACATAAAATACTATTAAGGACTTCCCTAACCACTAGACGTCCATACCCACACTTGTTTTCATTTCCTGTCACCATACAGAAATGTCTGTGAATTAAAATTAAAGAAGTAATAGAATAAAATTAAATGCATTAAAATTAGAAGAATAAAAAAAAATATACTTCTGCTGAGCAAAAGATCTTCCATGATGTCCTAGATCTAAGTATTAAGGATCCATTTTTTTATCTTCTTTAGAAAGTGTTCTACATTCTATGTTCTGTTGAGACATACAAGGCACTTTTTCCCCCTTCTCTCTATATTTTGTTCCTTTTCTATCTCTGTATGAAAATACCTGGTGCTCAATAAGTTGCAAGTCTTGTGGAGTCCTTAAAGATGACATCCTGGTTAAAATCCTTCTGCAAATACAAGTAAATGCTTAGTTTGTGGCACTGTATCTTGGCATAAAGATCTTCTGAACTGCCAAGATGAGGCAGCTCTGGCCACCTGCCTCAGTTTAGAGTGAGACACAGGCCAGGGACAGACCCACCTATGTGATTATAACAGCATGATGTGATACAGGGTCTATCAATCCAGCTGGCACCAGTGGAAGCTAAAGAAAAACACTTGATTTTTTCCCTTCCACACTAATTATTTAATGTCCTCAAGCTGGGATTTAATGTCATCTATTTTCAGAGTCACAAGGGAGGTCCAGATTAGGCTTGGAGAGTGTTTTCAGATGGCAGTTTGGTACCATGGGATCACAGGATAATTCAAGCAGGAAGGGGCCTCAGGGACTCCAGTCAATAATCCTGCTTGAACCAGGGAGCTCTACTAGGTCAGAACAAGTCACTCTGGTCTATGTCTTCAGCCTTGAAGTACCTAAATGCCAGCTGATTTTTTTTTTCTTAATTTCCTTTTTCTTTTTGTTTTGGGGTTTGCTTTTTTTTCTCCTCCTTTTTTCTTTTTCTTTTTTTTTTTTTTATTTCTTTTAACGTCCAAATTCCTTTATTTGATTAAGCAACTGTAATATGCAGGGTTTTCTGCTCTAAACAGCATAGTGAGATATATCTTTATGTCCTCATTCTGAGCTTGTTAGATGCAAGGTGTGAACGATCTTACCACTACACAATTCCATTAGCTCTGGGATGAGTTTCACTATGTACTTTTAACCTCTGTCTGCCCACAACATCCAGTGTTGCTGTTCCCTAAATAATGTTGCATAAAAGCTCCTTGCATACAAAGTGCTTTCATGTATAATATAACTAGGAAAGCACATGGGGGCAATTCAGAGAAGAGCATCAATGCTTTTGTCTCTCTCCTGAGCCTTCAGGAAATTATTCAGAGTGCTTGGAGTTCATGCTATCTTATGCTGTTGTACATCTCCTGCTTGGAGAATTCAGTGAAATCCTGGGTATCTCCACTACATCAGACAATCCCTACATTTCCTAGTGTTATTATTAGAAACAAAATGTCTGTAACAAATGCCTTTATTTTTAGCTGGGTTTGTGTTTATGTTGTTTTCTTTTTTTCCCACTGCATTGAATTTATCTAAGACAGCTGTACCTTTAAATATGTAATTACTTTGCTTTGCCTACTGCTGCAGAGCTTTCCTTGGGGGAAAGGTATCAGAAGAACAGTTATCCTCACCTTGGATGAAGTGGAAAATTTAGTTGTAAGTGGCATTTACTGCTCTCTTCACTAGCAATAATCCAGCCATTGAAATGTTACTCAGGTTGCTTCTTTTGACCCTTTTTAACAAGATCACAGCTTTCAGCATTTCAAGTACCCTTATCAACCAGACTCAGCAGTGACTTCAGGAAAGGCGTTACCTGATGTGGGAAGCTCTAAGGTGTCAGAGTCAATCAGCCCCAGTACAAAGCAAATCTTATCAGAAATCCTTTGCTCTTTACTTTGTATGATTGTTCCCTTCCTTATTGATGCAGGGGATGGAAGGTTGGTTGAAGAAAGAACTCTGTGACTAGTGTACAGGCTTTTTCCCTACACAAGTGTCTTTTATGAAACATCAGCTTATTAAAGCGGTTACTACAGTGGGTGTATTGGAGGTGATGTGAGTGAAAAAACCTTCAGAAATGAGGTCTAAAAAACACTAGGCAACCTTTAAGGTGGTCAGAGTAAAAATCAGCAGGTCAACATCAGCATGGATTTCTGCTGTGGTACCAAAGGCACAGAAAATGTCCTCATATTCTCAGTAGCAGTACATCACTGTTAAGGGGAAAGAGAAGTTGATAGTTTGATGTACAGCAGCAGATGATGGTACTCTATGATGGAAGATAACCTTTGTCAACATCAGGCATTAAGGGCTGGAGAAGATGCAGGTTCTGAGCACAGTTAGTTCTTCGGGATAATCAGGCAACACTTTCAAATTTCAAAGTCACGTGGATCTTTTGGACTTCCAAAACTAATGAGAAACAGTACTTATGGAAATATAGCTTGAATTGCCCATTCTCTGAAGATATCAAAAGAAGACATAAAGAAGATGTTTATCTTGAGGGTGATGAGGTCCTGGAACAACTTGTGCAAGGAAGTTGTGAATGCTCCATCCCTGGTAGTGTTCAAGGCCAGGTTGGACAGAGCCTTGGGTGACATGGTCTAGTGTAAGGTGTCCCTGCCCATTACAGGGGGGTTGGGACTAGATGACCTTAAGGTCCTTTCCAACCCAAACCATTCTATGAATCTATGATTCTGTGAACCACTCACTCTTTTTTGGTATGTTGGGAAAAGAAAAGAAGTGGTTGGGTTCCTCTGTCTTCAGTTTTTCTAGGTGTCACCACTGTTTTTGCTTTCTGTGCTGAATAACTTGCAACTTTTACATGGATTAAGTAATTTTAGACTCCATTGCAAAGTATCTTTGGATCCATTGCCAAAAAAAATGTTGGAGAAAACAAAATATCCTTATCATACTAATGTGAAAATTATTGGTCATTAAATTGTTAGATACTGAGAAATATACATTAATATTTTTTATTTTTTATATTATTATTATGATTCAAGGTTTTTTAAAATATTAAAATAACAATAATAAGAAAATTCAAATCTAACTGAAATATTCTTTGATCACGTCCATAGTCCACTTGTATGGTTTTTATGAGTAATGGAAATGCGTATGAGTAAGTTTTGTAGCATGAAAAAGTAGCTAGTGAATTCTACTAATAAATGTAATAATTTTGTGAAGATCTGGTGTATTCTTCATCCTTAGAAGCTGCGTGATGCACTGGGAATGCCATTCTACATAAATGGCAAGGGATAATCAATGGAATTGATGCAGAAATCATGGAGTAAAATTGAAAGGCCTGGGGATATCAGACTTAAGGCCTGTCCAAGCCTATAACTACTGTTGTGAAGATCTGCTAAAAAGCACTGCTGCAAATGTCATATTCAGCTACCCTTGAATCCTGGGACTGATTCTATGTTCTTGGTTTGCAGAAAATGATCTGGGCGTCCTGATGACATGAGCCAACAAAATGCCCTTGTAACAAAGAATTGTCTTCTGTAAGGTGAACTTGATACTGCAAACCTGTGTGCTAGAATTGTGTATTACTTTCTACACTCCTGAATCTATCTATAGGGTCTGTTAGTGCTCAATACAGCAACATTCAAAGGATTTGTTTATGCCCTCATTAAAGATCAATATATTTTCAATATGCCTAGAATAGCTTAATGAGTGTCCTGAAAACCTCATGCAAGATGAAAAATTGATTGGATGTGATTCTTGTTGGAGACTACCTATGAATTCATTGATTTTTGTTAGATGTCAACTTTGCAAAATGCTTCTTAGAAGTTTTCAACTCTGAAACATCTGCAGTGAAATTAAAAGCTCGCCTATGTCAATAAATAGCTTTGATATCCTTCTAGAGCTTAAAACCTTCAGCAAGCATACATATTTTGTAAAAGATATAACACAGTATCCATTGCTCCTCTTGTTCAAAGCATTCATTTCCTATTGGATGTTAGATGAGGTCATGGCACCACTCAAAAAAGAAACCGAGAAAAGGAGGAGGACACTTCAGATTTTACTTGCAGTAGGAATTAAAGCAATTGCAGTAGGGATTAAAGGATTTACTTGGGGAGCAGAATTAGTTATCCATACCTAGGCTTTCCTATAGAGTGCCAGAGGAAGGATATGATTCCCAACTCATGATATTCAGAAGACAGGAATTTTAGTAAATGCTTTCTGAGGACAGAGGCTTTTAACTTCCAAGTAGCTCAGCCCTCTCAGGATTCATAAACTGTTTCTTCTCCTGAAGTTAAATTGCTAAACCCTTTTCTGAAAATAAAAAGGAGAGAAAGGAGAAAGCTAGTAATTTCCTGTGGAACATAGCTAGATGGGAAAAGAATTCTCTACTTTTTGCCTTTTAGTCAAGTAGTTAAAATAGCCTTCTAGAGATGGAAAAGCTGAAGTTTTTTCTGACTAAGCTATATCAAACCTATCCCTTTTAAGTAAATGTGCTAACAATTAGAGTATAAGGTATCTGAGGGCATATTGTTCCCATTTGTCTCCTGTTGAGATATTGTAAAAATATATAGGTAAATAAATATAATAAATAATAATTATTTAATAAAGTGTATAGATAATCTAAATATTTGTAAAAATATACAGATAAATAAATAGGTCTACAAATAATTTTCTTCAGCTACTCACAGGTTTAAGAACAGAAAACCAATCTGATGTCCTAAATGACTGCAGCTGTGTTTCCATACTTACTAACAAAAACTGAAACAGCTTCAACAAAAAAGTAAAAGAAAAGTCTGATATCTGAATGACCATGTCCTGTCTCAAGTGAGTTTTCATTGCCTATTTGAGTACACATATTTTCAGTTAAAGGTCAGGATTGTATTTGTCTTTCCTTTATGTGTGTCACAACCATTAAATTATACACTTAGTCTCTTTTTGTTTTGTGAGTAGCTCAGTTTATGCTTCACTCTTTAAACATGGCTAGATATTATGAAAGAAATATCTGAGCATATTCTCTGATCAAATGTTCTATGTGTTCAGCTGGGATGGTGGCAATAGAGAATCAGAATGAGAGAGCAGGTTTGTTTCAGGGTATTGTATATTCCAGATGAGTATTTTTAATTACTGGCTACTGGGAAAAGCTGACCCACATCACTGTCTCCACCAAGAAATGGACTCATTGAGTTATCTACTTCGGCAAGATGGTAAATTGTAAAGGGAATGATGAACCAAAATTCCTGAGAAGCATCATCCTGCTGATAGCATCTGCAATTAACCATTTTAGAGGATTTCCAGGGTCAGTATTGCGTTTTTTACAGATTATACTCTTAAAAACCTAGATGAGCGATAATGCCAGCCTGTAGATCCTGTCCTCAGAAAACCACTAAAATTAAGCACTCCAGTACTGACCTTAAATTCCCTTTGAAGTTAGCTTAGAGTTCCTTCCATAGGTACGGAATATCTCTGTTCCACAGTTAAGTATCCATTTTGGATTTAGCACAATGGTAAAAGAGAAGACAAGGTCAGGATGAAGATCAATTGAGAAAAAAAAGGGAAAAAGAATATTATGAGAATAACTAGATTACGGCACTCTTAAATATCCCTACTAAACTTCCCCACTGCTTTTTCTTCCAGGCAACAGAAATGGGCTTAAGGCCAAAAAGTGGTTTGAATGGCTTGAAAAGTTTCTGCACATACATGTGATGGCTCCAAAGTCAGTTATTCTGATTTATATAGAGCATCAACACACTTGTCTGTAATCACACGTGGCCATAAGCAGCCTGTATACATCTGGGCTCTGTGCAGGGATATGAAACTGCTATTTCTGTCATAATTCTTATACCTTATTCACTGCCTGCTTTTAAGCAGTACATCTTAGATTCAGTTTTGTGTGAAAGGTTCTTCCTTCCCATCATCACTGTACACAGTGAATCAGAATGCTTAGAAATACCTTTAAATTGATAGGGTATTAGAAAAAGCACAAAGACTAAGTGTATGTGTCTTTTTTTGTATGAAATATAAGCCACTCCAGAAGATACAATTGAAACAAAATGAAAGAAAACCAAAAACCAAAAACCAAACTAACAAAAAAGAAAAAAGCTTCCTGAAAATCAAGAAACTTTCATTATCTCAAATTTGAGACCCAAGATCCATTGTGACTTATAAAGGCTAGAATCAAACCTTCTTATATGAAGGTCTAATATAAGGAAGAGAGAAATTATTGTGTTTTCAGCTTTATTTGTGTCTGCAAAATGGGGAAGAAACTGGAAGGAACTTCAAGAAAATAAATAAATGCTATGAACTGATCAAAGCATGTTCCTCAGGTCTTCAACTGGAGTCTGTTAACTGCAAGTGATTGTTTCCCTTAGCTGGTACACATTTGAAAGCTATCTTTATTTTCCTGCCACTACTAATAGAATTCTCCCAATTCCATCTACATTTCTCATAACCTGTTGCAGCATTTCCTTGAAATGCATGAAGCGTGAGGTCATATTCCCCACACTCTGCTTCCCAACAGGATGTCCTTTGAGCACATCAGCTCTGTAAATACGATTAGCAATGCATGGTTAGTCTGCGCAGCAGCACTTACTCAGAGAAAAAAAGGAAACTCTAGTCTTGCTCATTGTTTCCTGAGAGTAGTCAAACCCAGTGGATTCATTTGTTTCCATCTGCTTCACTAGTTTTGCTTCTGAGTATAGGAAGTATTTCAGATTGAGTACAAGAAGTGCAGGTTCAGTTGTGGATGTGTTCATCTTTGATTTAGCCTCTTGGTTTTTGTTGGGTTGGTTTGTTTGTGGGTAGGTTTTTCCCCCCCTAGTCTGTTTTGAAAGAAGCAGCTGTGGTGTGATTCTCTCACTGGGAAGGAGAAAAGGCTGTAAGGGAAAGGTAAATCATAATCCCATATGAGGCTAAAGTGAGCAGCAATTGGTGGCCAAGGAGGAAAAAAGGGGAATGTTTTTTTGAAGGGCAAACTCTTCCTCCATTTCTCATTTCTCCATATAACATGTAAATCCAAATCCCTTTACTACACTAAAAAAAGATATCAGGAGCGTATTTAACTGAGGCAAGAAACGATGGCAATTCTTAGTTGCAGTATCCAGGGTGTCAGTGCACAAGTGTCATCAGGAGGGGTCTTCAGTGCAACCTGCACACTCAGGGGAGAGGAGTCCAGGTGAAACGACTGAATCTGGGCCTTGGAAAGGTGAATGTGGAAAAGTGTCGGCACAAAGTCAAAGGGCTAAAGGTATACCACCTCCTCAGAGCAGTCAGTGTCAATCTATCATCTTCCTGGACTCAAAACTTAATATGTCACCTTCATGCATAGAGTCCTCCTCCCAGTAAGGCTGTGGAGCATTTAGGATTGCCCCTGTTCTGCTGACTTTGGCCCTTAGCCAGGGCTAACCCACCAGAGCAGGTATGATCTTATACCTTTTCTGGAGCTCCACACTGAAATCCCAAATTTGACCAATGTCTCTGCCTGTAACTTTGCTGGAAATAGTCAATAGTTATGATGTCTGCTGTGTTTGTCCAGAAGAGTGACAAAGGGATTTAAAAATGTCTTGGATTATATGGCCTGCAGAGCTTCAGTTACTGCTCCATTAAATTAAATGAAGTGTTTATATTTCATCTGAAATAGAAAGCCCAGGGCACCTGATCTCCAGTACCGTAGAAGAGCATCAATTCTGAACTAGCATAGATAGATACAGGCCATAACACATGATCCACTCTTTACAGTATACAGACACTGCCTTTGTGGACCCCAATGCTGCCTTGGGTTCATTTGTATTTGGGTTTGATCAGAGTTCATAGCCAGTTTTGGTTAGAAATAACAGAATCCATGTACATGATCAACTCCTTCACACAAGGTCATTTGAAGCAAGGCTAAGTCAGTTTCATCACTCACAGAACAGCTTTTTAGGTTCTTGTTGGATTTTAATGCATGTATTTTATATGGTTGGATGCTTCCAGTGTAACCATGTTTTTTTTCCATGGTACTTTGTTCTTTTTCTTATTTAAGTACTTTCTCGGAAAGCTTAACTTCCATTCAGTTCAGGCCTTAAAATCAATGGAAAAGAACCTCAGAGTCGGCCTGAGTCCAGGTCAAACCAAGGATGTTCTCTGAAAAGGATTTAAGTTTTATCATGCAGACACATTTCCAAATAGTACATTATGGAGAAGTTTTCCTTCAAGTTTAAGCACTAGCAGACAGAGTGCTATGAAACTATAGGCCTTATTTTTTACTAAGTAAGTGTATGTCAGCTTAGATTAACCTTAAGTTTTGAAAACATGTCAAATAAACATGCAGTTTAATATGTGATCTAAGGGCAGCATCTTTCAAAAGTAAGTATTTTATTATGGGCAAGTACTTACTTACAATAAAGAAATAAATGAAACTAAACTTGACATTGAGAAGATCCCAAAACGCTTGAACTGTGTCAGGGAGAGGAAAAAAGTCTTCCCACCGCTTCTGTCTAAAACCCGATTGATCAAAGAACCCCATTCTGATCTGTCTCAATTGTACTGCTTAGCGGACTTTGAATGAAAGCAGGAGAAAAGGAAACATGACACCAAGGGAGAAATAAAACAAAGCAAAAGAAAGAAAATCCAAAACTTTCTTGATACTCACTCTGTGTGTCACTTTGAAGGAATTATTTATCCATTTTAGTAAGTTATTCTACTTACTAAAATGAAAAGGTTTAATAGGAACAAGAATGTTCTGAGGGCAAATTAATTTCAAGATAGATCCTCAGCAGTAAATTGGTGTAATTTGATGGAATTCGTAGCCTGACCTCGAGCTTCCCCAGATGAATATCTCATCTATTGCGTGTTGTGTGTTTTAGCAGGCTAAG